TAGTAATTCATCCCCCATAGTAATTCATCCCCCATATAGTAATTCATCCCCCATAGTAATTCATCCCCCATATAGTAATTCATCCCCCATTTAGTAATTCATCCCCCCTATAGTAATTCATCCCCCATATAGTAATTCATCCCCCATATAGTAATTCATCCCCCCATAGTAATTCATCTCCCATAGTAATTCATCCCCCATATAGTAATTCATCCCCCATAGTAATTCATCCCCCATATAGTAATTCATCCCCCATATAGTAATTCATCCCCCATAGTAATTCATCCCCTATATAGTAATTCATCCCCCCTATAGTAATAATTCATTCCCCCATATAGTAATTCATCCCCCATATAGTAATTCATCCCCCATAGTAATTCATCCCCCATATAGTAATTCATCCCCCATAGTAATTCATCCTCCATATAGTAATTCATCCCCTATATAGTAATTCATCCCCCATAGTAATTCATCCCCTATATAGTAATTCATCCCCCATAGTAATTCATCCCCTATATAGTAATTCATCCCCCATATAGTAATTCATCCCCCCTATAGTAATTCATTCCCCCATATAGTAATTCCCCATATTGTGTCAATTCACTTACCTTTGCTCCGCGCGTTCCTCTCGCCGTGTTCCCGCGCCGTTCCGGTCTTCAGGGCGGACTGTAAGAGGAGAGGAGTTCGTCACGCTGCCCCGCCTACATCCTGACAGCCAATGTTTGCCACGCTCCGCGGGCCAGATTAAAAGGTCCGCCGGGCCGTATACGGCCCGCGGGCCGTAGTTTGCCCATTGCTGATCTAGACCTATTAGGTGTTATTTGAAGGCTCCAAGTGATCTTGGAATAGGGAATAGGTGGTCTGAACCATTGAGTGGGCAGATGAGGCCGCTTTCACACAGGGCAAAATCTGATTTGCTCAGCGGGGTATCTGTCCGTTGATCCTCTGCAGAGCGGGCAGATGACAGGTCTGTATCTGCTCAGTTTATGCAGAGCGGCGGACACAGAGAGAGCCCTCTCTGCTCTATGGGCAGCCCGAGTGTAAATGGACCGGCTGTCCGTTTACACCTCTCTACACTTCGATCTAATCTGCCTAGATGGAGGGGGATGGATCCCCTTCCATTTTTGTTGGTGGATCGGACTGGAGGTAGGTGGATGTAAACGGAACAGTTAAACCCCCCGGTCCATAGGGATACATGAACCATCTGATCGGGTCTTCTTGAAAGAGGTGCACATTATTGGATCTCCCGTGTGAAAGAAACCTAAGTTGGGGCAAGGGCATAGATTGAGGGATAAAGAGAAGAGTGTAAAGAGGGGAATTGTAGGAAAAACTGGTAGGGGAGAGACAAGGAAAGGCCAGAGTAAGGTTAGGAGTGGAGGTCAGGGTACGAAGGTGCAAACAATTAGAGGGAAGGGTAATGGGGAAAGGATACAATAGGGTGTTTTCCCCATCGACTAGGGCCAGGTAAATGGACTATAGGCAACTCGGGCTAGAACAGTTCAAAGATGGTAAGACAAAATCAAATAACATTTCCCGTATTTTGGAAAATTATGTACAATTAGGGGTGCTAGACAGTTTCATACTAACCAACTCTGAGTTTATGCGGTCTTTAATTTCTTAGATTTCTAGAAATAGGATTTCTTCCAGGCATCGGCTGTTGTTTTCTTTGCACATTTGTAACCAATGTATGTTGGTGTGAAGAGAGACCTGGAATTGTGTGGTGGGGGGAGGGCCAACCTCACATCCTTAGGTACTAATATATCAAGCAGGGTTTGAAGAAGGTCAAACCTTCTGGACCAAAACACGGTCAATTTTGGGCAAGACTATGAGAGAAATCCTTTTCTCCCTTTGCGCTATGAAGACTCCTGGGATGTATAACTAGAGATGGGAAGGCTTCGGAAAAAAAGTGGAAGAATTGGAGAAAAAAAGTTTTTTTCAAAGCCGTTTTTTGGGTTTTTTTTCCAGAAAAATAAAAAAAAAGGAGTGCGGAATATGTTCTTTTACAAAGATAACTAATATATCTATGACATGATATTCAAACTATGTAACATGAAGACCTTAATGAAAGATTTCTGAGACTTTATATAAAGTTTTAAACCATTGCATGTTCTCCCAGCTGAAGACAAGCAAATCCTGGAATACAATTCAAGTAGCACTGTACTTCTCAAAGCATTTGTCAAACAATAGAAATATAAAATTGTGCCGCTAGGGGGCACTGCAGAGGAAAGGCTCCAGTTTAGTTTACTTGTGAGGTTCATCTTGTACCTCCTACAGTTGGGTGATTGTTGAAATACAATTGACAGGTAAGAGGGTAAAGCGCTGAGCAAAGTGTCGGCGCTATATAAATCCTGTATAATAATAATAAGTGCCAGAGGTGCCCTAAAAACATTAAAATACTTTATGGAGTGAAATGATGACTATAATGAAATAGCAAGTCCCTTTCCCCCCAGAAATTTTCTGCTGCTTCTGGATCATCGCAAATTTTAAAAAGCAAGTTTAGTTTATTTATTTCAAGTACTTATATAGCGCCATCAATTTACGCAGCACTTTACATATATATTGTACATTCACATCAGTCCCTAACCCTCAAGGGGTGTACAATCTAAGGTCCCTAACTCACATTCATACATACATATACTAGGAACAATTTAGACAGGAGCCAATTAACCTGGAGTGTGGGAGGAAACCGGAGTATCTGGAGGAAACCCACACAGGCACAGGGAGAACATGCAAACTCCAGGCAGGTAGTTTTATGGTTGGGAGTACTGCCAGGTGGAAATGCTAATTTACTGAATAAGCTGTACTTTTATTTCAAGCATAATACTTTTATATACACTGCATTTCACGTACTCAGCGTAACAAAATGATATTCAGTTTGTAAAACTACTCAACACTGATTTTTTTTTTTTTCAATTTATCAGAAAATTTTCCTATTTTTGCAGTAAAAAAACGGTAAACATTTTTTTCTCGTGGCTTAAAAATTTCTGGAAATTTTACATCTCTCTGTATGACATAATTTTGGCATAAAACAGAAACCAGGAACAAACTGAAGAAATGTTAAAAAAAAAGTTCAAAACAAGTAAATGTAATATACTTTCCTATCTATTTACTAATGCTGGCAACATAAGATGTCGATTGAGTGAGTTTAGTTCCACTTTAAGCAGAACTCCAGCCTTTTGTCCATATCCCCACCATGCTTTTGTTTATTAACCATTAGCCGCCCGGCCAATGGCCGTTTGGCGGCTTCAAAAGTGTTGCTGCATTCCGGGTGGACGCCATTTGGCGTGCTCCCGTACATGCGCAGTTTGCGCTAATGCAGAGTGGCGCAGCAGTGCGATCTGTCACCGGCCGTGTACCTCGGACACGGCCGATGACAGATCCGAGTAGCGGCTCCCGTTGCCGGTACCATGTGACCTGCTGTGACCAATCACAGCAGGTCACATGACAGTTGTATACAATGGATGGCTTAATTCATGCCATCCATTGTATACTAGTGCCTAGCTGTGAATGGTCACAGCTAATCACATGCACATGTCATGTGATTAGCTGTGACCAAATCACAGCTAAGCACAAAAAAAAAAAAAAAAAGCTGAATGAATCGATTTCATTCAGGTAAATGCTTGCTTATAGAAAAGTAATTCTTTGCTATAAGCAAATTGTGTAAAAAATACTGATCACTTCCCCAAAGTAGTACAATGTTACTATGGTAATATTGTACTACTTTGGTCATAGTAAAATATGAAAAAAAATCTTAAAAAAATTTAAAAAAATGTAATAAAAAATTAAAAATAATAAAAAATTAAAAAAAAAATATTTTGTTTTTCATACTGTCACCAGTCAGTGTCCCTGATCACCGCCATGCCAGTTATATGATGACGCTGTACTGCACTGGTGACAGTATGTAAAAAATAAAATAGTGAAAATAATTTTTTTCATTTTTTCATTTTCCGAATAATTATGACAAAAAAAATACAACTTCAAAAAACTCGCCATGCCTCTTATGAAGTACGTCGGACTGTCTACTCTGCAAAAAGGGGTCATTTGGGGGGATATCTGTACTGTCCTGACATTTGGGGGATATCTGTACTGTCCTGACATTTGGGGGATATCTGTACTCTCCTGACATTTGGGGGATATCTGTACTCTCCTGACATTTGGGGGATATCTGTACTGTCCTGACATTTGGGGGATATCTGTACTCTCCTGACATTTGGGGGATATCTGTACTCTCCTGACATTTGGGGGATATCTGTACTCTCCTGACATTTGGGGGATATCTGTACTGTCCTGACATTTGGGGGATATCTGTACTCTCCTGACATTTGGGGGATATCTGTACTCTCCTGACATTTGGGGGATATCTGTACTCTCCTGACATTTGGGGGATATCTGTACTGTCCTGACATTTGGGGGATATCTGTACTCTCCTGACATTTGGGGGATATCTGTACTGTCCTGACATTTGGGGGATATCTGTACTGTCTGACATTTGGGGGATATCTGTACGTTCTGACATTTGGGGGATATCTGTACTGTACTGACATTTGGGGGATATCTGTACTGTTCTGACATTTTGGGGATATCTGTACTGTTCTGACATTCTTGGACCTCAAGAAATTAGATTGGCTGTCAGTACTTCAGGATTGATCAATATTCAGATCTATACCTTAGTTTGTGAACTCTATAACCTTCCTACAGAATAAATAATACATCTTAATTTGGGTTATTTTCACCAAAGACATGTAGCAGAATACATCTCGGCCTAAATTTATGAAGAACAATTATTTATTTGCAAACTTTTATAACAGAAACAAAGAAAAACGTGTTTTTTTTCAAAATTTTTGGTCTTTTTTTGTTAATTTACCAAAAAATAAAAACCCCGGCGGTGATTAAATACCACCAAAAGAAAGCTCTAGTTGTGTGAAGAAAATTATAAAATTTTAGTTTGGGTACAATGTTGTATGACTGCGCAATTGTCATTCAAAGTGTGAGAGCGCTGAAACCTGAAAACTGGCCTGGGCAGGAAGGTGTAAAATTGCACGGTATTGAAATGGTTAAAGAATCTTTATTGGGTTTTGTTGTTACACAATATCAACCAACGAACATTTTTAAACCCAATACAATTATTGCATGCAGATTAAACAGGTTCACTGACATCCAGATGAGCTCTCAATATTCCTATTACATTGTACGGTACCAGCAGCTTCTCTTTCTTTATTTCACGTCCCATCGGGGATCTTCTAAAAGTTACCACCCCACCAATGCAATTAATATTAGATGACATTAGGTGAAAAGAAGGATTTGTTTTGCGTGCGTTAGGTTGTGAGCGTACATTTAGAAGCTGTTTTAGGTGAACATTGCTTTGTGTACTAAACTGCTTCTTGCAGGCTCTGTTAGGAAAAATAATACCCTTTTATTGCTGCAACATGCTATCACAGTTCAGGGAAATGCATTCGTTATATAATAGTCTGGGTATTTTCTTCACTTGCTGCACTAATAGCTAGAGATGTATTGTCACCTTGTATCGAAGCATCTTCCCCCAGAATTTATGTTTTTTTTGTGGCTTTTTTTTACAAGTCTCTCCTTGTTATGTTTATAAATCGGTGTACAGGAAAAGAGGTAATAAAGGCGCACCACTAGGTCTTTTTTTCTTTTATTCAGAAATTGTACTGCACCGTTCCACCCTACTTCCTTTTATCAATGATCTGGAAACCTCTTTTACTTACCTGTTGGTAATAAAAAAAAAGAGGAATTTGGAAACACTTCCACTTGGACAGAAATAGAGACTTCCAATTAGGAAGTGTTGCTATCTTTCTGCATCTATCACTTTGTAGGCTGACAGACTCTCTTGCTGTCCCGGGTAGGTTTTCAACACACGTGTTACAATCAGCATTTTTTGCTAGAAAGTTACTTAGAACCTCCAAATGTTACATATTTTAAAAGCAGAGGCCCCGGAGAACTAAATGGTGGCAGTTGCAATTTTTTTACACCACACAATATTTGCGTAGACACTAATTTATTTATATTTCTACACTGATTAGGGGTATTGGTTTGAGTGTTAGCAGCACATTAATTAGGAGGAGGGGGGTTGTCCATAGAAGCGCAGGAGGATTTCTAATCATTTGCGTAGATGTTTATCACACAGATTTTCAGGAAAAAATACGGGGCAGCATTTTTCGGTCCACGCTGGTTCCCTTCAGGATACCCTCCCTGTCCACATCGGATGCGCGGACACTGCTTGCCCTCTGCTGCCTCCAGGGAGCCTGGACTACGTTTCGCAATATGCTCTTTTTAATTTTCCTTCCTGTGAGTTGCCGATTGTCGCTTTTACCAATAAAACTGTTAATTCAATGCTGCACTTAGTCGGCGCCCCTCTTCCTTCTTTTTTTCTCATGTACTGAGTTCAGCTTTGCTCCAAGGGTGCTGATGCCGCTTCTTGCTTATGTACTCTCATTGTGAATGCTAATGGTCTCCCACATGGACTTTTAATGGACTTTTATGTAGTTACATTATACCCCTCCAGCGCCAGATTTGTATATCTCGTGTTCTCCCTGCTCCTGTGTTTCCTCCCACACTCCAAAGACATGTTGGTAGGTTAATTGGATCTGTCTAAGGCTAGGTTCACATCTGTGTGGGTGGTGCCGCTGCGGATCCGCATGAAAATCTGTGCATAGGGAAATGCGGACGTGCGAGCAGTGTGCCATTAGTTCTAATGGCACACCGCCCGCACTGAAAAACGCAACCGTACTGGGAACCGAGGTGCCTGTGCGGGCTGCGGTTTCCAAAGAAGTGCAGGGACTTCTTCCTTACGGGTCACGGGAGTCTATTCAAATGAATGGGCTCTCGTACCCGAGCAAAACGCGACCCGCTCAGCTGCATAGGTGTGAACCTAGGGTCATTGTGAATGCTAATGGTCTCCCACATGGACTTTTATTGGACTTTATGGACTTTTATGTAGGTACATTATACCCCTCCAGCACCAGATTTGTATATCTCGTGTTCTCCCTGCGCCTGTGTTTCCTCCCACCCTCCAAAGACATGTTGGTAGGTTAATTGGATCCTGTGTAAGGATAGGTTCACATCTGTGCGGGTGGTGCCACTGCGGATCCGCATGAAAATCTGTGCAGCCGCACCACCCGCATAGGGAAATGCGGATGTGCGGGCGGGTGCCATTAGTTCTAATGGCACACCGCCCGCACTGAAAAACGCAACCGTACTGGGAACCGAGGTCCCTGTGCGGGCTGCGGTTTCCAAAGAAGTGCAGGGACATCTCCCTTATGGGTCACGGGAGTCTATTCAAATGAATGGGCTCTCGTACCCGAGCAAAACGCGGCACGCTCAGCTGCATAGGTATGAACCTAGGGTCATTGTGAATGCTAATGGTCTCCCACATGGACTTTTAATGGACTTTATGGACTTTTATGTAGTTACATTATACCCCTCCAGCGCCAGATTTGTACGTCTCGTGTTCTCCCTGCGCCTGTATTTCCTCCCACACACCAAAGACATGTTGGTAGGTTAATTGGATCCTGTCTAAGGCTAGGTTCACATCTGTGTGGGTGGTGCCGCTGCGGATCCGTATGAAAACCTGTGCAGCCGCACCACCCGCATAGGGAAATGCGGACGTGCAGGCGGTGTGCCATTAGTTCTAATGGCACACCACCCGCACTGAAAAACGCAACCATACTGGGAACCGAGGTGCCTGTGCGGGCTGCGGTTTCCAAAGAAGTGCAGGGACTTCTTCCTTACGGGTCACGGGAGTCTATTCAAATGAATGGGCTCTCGTGCACACACACAAAACGCGACCCGCATGGCCGCATATATGTGAACCAGGGCTAGTATGCATATGTATGAATGTGAGTTAGGGACAAAAGTCACATGGAAAAATAGAGATGATGGACCTCCTCAGTGGGCATGCAGGCACTAATGAGGGATTATAAAGTTGTTTTCCTTTAGAAAAAAAATACAAGCCTTTTGACCCCCTATACAATTAACATCATTGACAATAAATCCTGTTTACAGCAGCCAAGGCAGTAAAAATCCTTGGCCAACTGGCAAATCTAATTAAGCAGGCCATAGATGGGTTGAAAATCGGCCAAAAATTTGTCCGAAAGAATAATCGGCCGAAAATTTGTTCGAAAGAATAATAATCGGCCCATTTTTGGATCGTTAGTGGATGAAATTGTTGGCCGTTTTTCGTGATTTTGACACCTTTTTTAATCTGTTGTTTTTGGATGATTAAAAAAAATGCGCATGAGCCGTGACCTGCAAGAAGAAGGAAAAGAAGATGAAGACAAAGAAAAAGAAGAACTTCTGTATCTATTTGTATCCATTTCGTATACAGATGTTTCTACTCGGATACAAATAGATACAATGTTGCAACCGCAATACTTTTAAATGTCAAAAATATTAGCGGAGTGTCCCTGCAGAGAGCTCCGCTATTATATTTGACATGTAAAAGTATAGCAAAGTTGCAACATTGTATCTATTTGTATCTGAATAGAAACATCTGTATACGAAATGGATACAAATAGATACAATGTTGCAACTTTGCTATACTTTTACATGTCAAATATAATAGCGGAGTTCTCTGCAGGGACACCGCTATTATATTTGCCGGATGTAGACAGGACGAAAATCAGCCGATTGTTTTATACCACAATGGCGGTAACGTCGACCGATTTTTTTTTTTTTTTTTTTTAAAAACCACCCGGCTTTCGCCCCGTCTATGGCCTGCTTTAGAGGCCTTCCAAAATTGGAAAATGTTTTGGCCTTCGATATACTTTGCACATTTAGAAGTCACCGGATCCAAGCTGTCCAAATTACAATCCGGTATCAGTGACAGTCAGACTATAAAATCAAACCAGGCAACATAGACCATAAAAAGGCCTGCTATGAGAACGCCACCAGGATTCAGACAAGAATTCCATCTTCTGAGTCCTCAAAACACTCAGAATCACACAAATATAGCCCTGACACAATCAGAGCTCAGAACCGGAGTGGCCATTGCCCAAACGCAGGTAGAAATGCTCTCATACAGCGAAGGGGCGTGGATGATGGAATGTAGGCTCCTCAGGGGGAGGGACCGCTGGGAATGGTTCTCTGTACTTCGAAATGTGTTACATAATGTATCAGCTTTGTATAAATATTGTAAATAATATGTCTGTGGGGCTCAGAGGAGTTTTTATTTTTGTAATTTTTTTTTTCTTTCCAGAGCAAAAGCCAAGCTATTAAAAATAGAGCGACGGAGAGAGAGAGAATGGATTGTATGCGCTGCGGGTTATGTATCCCGGCCTTCCTCACACACGGATACACAGTGATTAACCTCGTGTTCGGGGATTCAAGCTGAAAAACAAAGATAAACTGCATTCAGGTGAGCTATGATCTGCTAGAAGTGGCAGGCAGGCAATCTTCGCTGACAAGATTTATGACTTTCTGTGGCAGGCTGGGAAAGGACGTTGGATACAGAAAATACATTTAGCACGGGTGCTGCGTGGATTGGTGCAGTGCAGCTGGAAAGGTCAGGACTGGGGGCAGATATATGAGGGAAGCGGGATGAGCTGTGACAAGCAGAATGAGAGGACAAGATAGCGGCTGTGGTGGAATGCTGGGAAATGGGCTTGGTTTTTTTTTTTTTACTGCTAATTACAGCAACAAAGAGCTTGTGGTAACTGTTCCTTCCTTAGATCTCCAGGTAGATATAAGGAACAAGACTCATGTTATCTAATCATCTCCAGCTTTGAGCACTTATTTGTCTGCCGCAAAGATTTTCCAGCATGCTGTAAAATATCTCTGACCAGTTAGGAATCTTTCCAGTTTCTCAAGAAAGGGATCAGTCCTCTAAAAGAACTAGTTCAACCAAAAGTGCTCAAATGTAGGTGGAGACTGGTAAGCCAAGTGTTTTCATATCCATTCTGCATCCATCAGTGGCATTTCTTACAAGGTCATTTTCTCTGTTACAGACCATTTTGGAGTTTTGGTTGATCCCATACATCTTGGAGGGTTAACATCGTATGTCTCAAAGTGG